TGCCAGCACTGGACTTGAGAGAACCACGAAGCCATCTTCTCCAGGCTGCAGAGGTTTAAATCCCGGTGTGGATCGTGGCTTTTGTACTTTGCCCCCCGAAGCGCTACCCCATCTTCTTCCTCGAAACCTGGGGTCCCCGGGTATCCCCGGGCACTCGGCTCACATCGTTGCTGGCATGGCCTCGAACTGCGGTGATTGTGCGGGTTTGCGAGTGGATGAGAGCGAGGTGCGGAACTCATGGGGCTCAGCTAAAGGCCCAGCCTATCCATTGAATAGGATCAGCGAGAGCCTAAGCAAACCAGGTGTGCAGGTGTTCCGTCGACTGGGCATCCGAGCGCTGCCGTCTTCACAACTGCGATCAGCGCATGCAGCAGGAGAGGCCAGTGGCAGGAAGCTTTGGAAGTCCTGACCGCTATACCTGCAAGACGCTCGCAACTGAACGAGATTTCCTTCAACGCCGCCATCAGTGCATGCGAAAAAGGTTCGTTGACTGATTCTGTCCTGATTTCCTTTTGCCTTATTGCAGTCCAATTGGTCTAAATGTTGATGGCTCAGCCCTTTTCCGAGGCCAGCACTGGCTAGCTGCTCTAACCCTCTTTCGTTCCGCTGCTCGTTGGGTGCGGAGGGATGTGATCACCTATAACAGCAGCCTGAGCACGTTCAGCGAGAAGAGCCGCAGCTTGTGGGAGTTGGCAATCATGCAGCTCTCAGCCATCCGGTTCGCGGGTTTGGAGCCCGACCGGATCTCCTTCAACGCCACGGCGACGGCGGCCAGCTGCACCTCCTGGGCCTTCAGCCTCTTGGCCCTGCAGGAGCTCCGTGAAGGAGGCGAGGCCGAAGCTCTGGCCGCACACGGATATATGGACCGGAAACAAACCCGCAAAGAAAGCAGGGTCCCCCGCCCGGCTTGGCAGAGCCCGTCGATCCGAGGATGCGGTGAGCTACAACTGCGGGATCACGGCAAGCGAGAAGGGCCAGGCCAGGCCAAAGGAGTGTGCCTTGCGCCTTGCCTTGAACAAATCGCGGGTTGTAGTGCAACAAAAAGGAGTGGCCCGTAGCCCTCCAACTCCTTGCCAACCTCAACGCTGGCGGACTACGAGGTGCTTCAGCGCGCTTTCGCAGTGCTTTGTCCCTTGCGCGCGCATGTCTCCTCTTGCTTGGCACAGGCACGGTCGTGACGGCTGGTGCCGCTATCAGTGCCTGCGCTGCGCATGGTGCTTGGGAAGAGGCGCTGCTTCAGCCCCGTGCCCAAGAGCTGACTAGCTGTAGAAGGCTTCTGGCGCCTGATCCCTAAATCACTAAGACACTAAGAGTAAAGAAGACCTGCTCACAAGTGGGATGAGCTTCGACGGCTAGGCGCTTTGTCAGCGCCGGACTTTTCAATGAGCAGTGAAAGGGGCAGCGCCTTGTGAGTCTGAGGTTGTTTCGGCTCCAGATGCGAAGGCTGCAATCGAGCCTTCTCGGCATTCCTGGAGGTAGCTAAACCCTAAACCGGACAGTGAGCAGAATCGGCCCTAAGTGCTGTGAGCCGGGATTCGCCCTCTGAGGAGCATTGCCCACAATGCTGCGATGTGTGCCTGCGAGAGGAGCAGCCACTGGGAGCAGGCGATTGAACTCGCCCGCCCTTCACCGCTAAGACGAACCCGAGGTTTCAAGATATCGGGCAGGTGCCCAGAATCTATCACTCTATGGCCCAAGGCCGGAGTAATACTGGAGACCTTTGAAAAAAGACTTCAAAGGATATGATCTGCTGCTGCGCGCAAAGCTCTGACCGGTGCCACCCTCCTCTCTCGGCACCAGGCCCTTCTGCTGTTCGTTGGGATGGTCTTTGCCAGCCTCCGCCCATCCATCATCAGTTCCTTCACGGCAAGACGGGAAGACGTGAGTTGACATCTTGGAGCCCAGAAAGCCCTGCCATTGTATGCGTGACCAGCTTCAAGAAGCGACGGTTCAGAAAAGCAGATCTGACAATTGTCAAGGCAGGTCCGTTGTTGCGTTGTGTCGGCCAACGTAGTGAACCCTTAGCCACAAAGAATATGGGAGAGTGAGGCTGTTGTGCTGCTTTAAGTGGGGGTTGCATGTCAAGACAGTGCAGTGCCGGTAGCTAGTCAAGCTGTTGCATGGAGTGTGAGCTATCTACTCTAGACTCACTCGAGCTTGTTGGTGTTCTTTCGTAGCCAGGCAGCGTTAGAGTCTTTCCGAATGATGGCGACTTATGCGAAACTCCGAGAGGGGTGATCAGTGAAGCTGCTCCTCTTAGCTTGGTCACAAGCCGGACCCATGTCGTGTGCCACCGAGGCTACAACACTACGATGACGGCCTGTGTCTCCGGTGAGCAGTGGCAGAGGGCTATGTCGCTGTTCGTGGAGACGCCTGCTGCAGCAAGGACCTCTCAGAGAGCGCAGAGTGCCATCGAATAGGAGCAAGATTACACTTTCAGCAGAAAGCCCGTTTAAACAATCTGAGATTTATGATATCTTCGTGTGAGGTTGTAAAGTTCGACGCCGAAGGCCATAGCAATCTCGCAGCATGCCAGAGTCACCAGCACTTCGAAATCAAGTTTCATCAACGAGAGGGCAAAGCTTCTAATGTCCAGATTAGGGGCGGTCACACAGACACACATTCAAAAAATTTCGCATGTATGCAAACACAGACACACAGATGTACAGAAACAGTATGTGGGCATAAGCTACGCGTGACATGCACGATCTATATCTATATCTAAGTCTATATCTATATCATCTATATTTATATCTATATCAAAATCCGTATACATACACACACGCACAGACATAGCTGGCTCGCTTTCTCGCTCACTCGCTCACTCACTCACTCACTCACTCACTCACTCACTCACTCACTCACTCACTCTCATAGCGTGGTTATGCATCTGCGTACATAGTTGAAGCCAATTGTCTATGCAGCTGCATGTCTTGATATTGTGCATCTTGCTGCTTGATCACAACACTAAGAGCTGCGACCTACAGATATGCAAAGCATGTTGATGTGTCTGCGAGGACTGCTGTCACCTATGGGGCAGCCGTCAGCGCGATGGAGACAGCCAGGAATTCTTCCGGACAACAACTACAACTACAACTACAACTACAACAACAACAACAACAACTACAACTACAACTACAACAACAACAACAACTACTACTACTACTACTACCTTACTAATTCTACTAATTCTACTACTGCTTCTGCTGCTACGTCTACTACTTTCACTACATCCACTACTTCTTCTTCTGCTTCCACTATTGCTTTTTCTACTTCTACTCCTTCTTCTACCACGACGAGGACTGCTTCTGCTACGAGACTGTTCCGCTTTACGGAGTTTCACAATGCGGATTACTTCTGCGACTACTCCTGCTACTAACAGTATTTGTCCTACTGCCACCAACGCTGTGCGGCTGCTACTGCTGTGTCTGTAGCAACAGTCGCAGTCGTAGTTGTCGTAGTCGTGATCAAAAGTTGTGCACCTGTTTGTGCCGCCGCGCTTTCCTCACGTTTCGCAAGGCAATGCTCTCGTATTTGTCGTTGTGGTTGCCGCAACTATCGTTTGCAGTGTTCGGGTTTGTGGCCCGTGGCCTTGTATGGGATGCCGAGTTGGGAGCGACGTCGACGACGACGACGACGCATGGAACAGGGAAGTCCGCGAGACCATGTTCTGATGAGTAAAGCTTTGATTGTTGTGACGGCTGCTCTGTCTGGAACAACTACTGTGTTGACTTGATTTCATGCACACTGCCAGCCTTGTCGTTTCTTCTGATCTTTGTGGGCAGGGCTTTCATCTACCTCCCTAGCGTCGGGCTCATGGGTAGCAGCTTGGCCAGGCAGTGGCAGGAGGCCCTGGCGCTCCTGGTGGAATGCCGTGGTCGGAAGCTGCGCCTGGACCTGGTCATCTTCAATTCGGTGATTAGTGCCTGCGAGAAGGGTGGCCACTGGCAAGGTGCCTTGCAGCTCCTGGAAGACCTCGAAGAGGCGTCTCTGGAGAAGAGCCTTGTCTCTTACAATGCTGCCATCAGCGCCTCTGAGAAGGCAGGATACTGGCAACTCGCCTTAGGCCTCGTCGCAGAGCTTCGGCGGAGGCGGCTCCAGGAGAATTTGATCACGTGCTGCGCTGCAATTGCTGCCTGCACCCGTGGAATGGAATGGTCCGCGGCCTTGTCGTTGCTGTCTCTTCAGCAGCGAATGAAGCAGGAGCACCATGTGGCATACGTTTCAGCCGTCAATGCTTGTGTGCAGTCGTGGCAGCACCAGCCAGCCCAGAGGGTTCTGTCTGAGCTGGAGATGTTTCTTTGTGGACTGGCCAAGACCAGTGCGAGACTCGGAAGACGGCAAATCGGCAACGAATGGCCTCTAGCCCAGGCCTCGCCACGTAGAGCCGATGAACTGTGACGCCATGTAGAGTTGTTGCATATTCCCAGATGCTTTACTTGCGAAGAGCAGCGCAGTCTCGGTTTGTTTGGCTCGTTTCTGGGGTGCCTCAGACAGAGAGTGCTGGGTCTGGGCAGTGTCATGTAGCCTTTCAGTGCGAAGAGCGTCAGGCTGCCGTGCCGGTTTCGAGTCGGCTCAGGATATATAAGAGAGGGCCGATAGCGGGACATGAGACCTAGTTGGAATGCTGATCCTAGCTCATGCGCAGAGAAAGTGGTACACTAGAAAAAACCGGATGGACTAACAGAGATGTGCAGGCCATTCTTGTGGCCTCCAATACCATCCCCCAGCACAAACTCACAGTGGGTAGTCTTTCCTCTCGCATGGCGTGGCTGCGGCGGGGACCGCGCGGGCGTCTGGTCCTTGGAGCCGGTGTTCCACTCGCGAGCTCCGGAGACACAGGCGGACAGACATGCCTTGACCCCTTTTAACCCAGGTCATGGGTGACGATGATGCTGAGAATTGGTATCGCTTCACTGCTGCCCAGCCCTAAGGCTTAAGGCAGTAGGGCTTGGCTTCAGCCTCAGGGAGTAGGGGTTTTGCCATGGCGGACAGGACTTCAGATCCAGAGCACATCCTGCTTCCGGCCAAGAGCATCCTTCCCCCCGTACTGAGGCCATCAGCAAGAAGCCACAGGCTTCCCTGGGCCTCGATGTCACCTACAGGTCGTGGAGTAAGCCCGAATCTCAGGAAAAGCTGTGCGAACCCCCTGTGTATTTTGGGTTTCGCTCACAGCGCGGTGTGCTCCAAGGGACGGCGTCTTTGTCGCAAACGTCTTCGAGGGCGGCCTGGTGGCTGCCTGGAACGAGAAGCAGGAGATGCCGAACCGGATCTGCGTAGGGGACTTCATCTTTCAGGCCCTTGGCTCTCTGTCTCCTCAAAGGCCCCCCCCCCCGGGTTCACCTGAGGCCTTGAGAGTTGTCAGGTGAACCATGTGTCCAGCAATCCCGTCGCCATGATCGAGGACTGCGTACTGCGGGCTGCGCAGCCACTTGGAAGAGTCGCCCCAAGCCGGAGTGTCTCCTTTTGCGTGAAGCTTCCGCGCGTCGTGAGGAGCTGAAGGAGAAGACTCACTTGGACATCTGTTTGAAGCGGAGGCCCGGAATGACGTGGAAGTGCCCTTCTTCACACATCTTACACATGAGTCTTCTCCGAAATGGGCTTGTGGCAGCACTGCAATACTCCGGGTTACATCTCACTCCACGTCTTGATTTGTGGGCATCGCTTGGTCTCTGATAAGCCAATCTCAGAGACCCCGTGTCCTGCCAGGAAAGGAGCCGAGCCTGCTTTGCCACCGCATCAGGCTCTTGGCCCAGCAATGTAATGTTATGTTTTTTCTACTTTTTTTCTACTTTATATATATATATATGTATATATATATATATTATATATACACACTTACTTATATATATATATATTAATTATATGATATTATGGTATATTCTGTAGTCTTCTTCCACAGCCGAATGCTGGTTGAAGTCAGTGGGCGTCGAGTTGGAGCATCGGAATCACCTGTACCGAGTCTTCCTTAGCTGCAGTGTGCTTTCTGTCCTCCAAACGCCTACGAACAACAAGTCCAGTAACTAGTTACTTCAGAGAATCCGTGTCATTCGCTTTTGCTGACATTAAAGAGACCCGAAATGACAGCTGGATCTACCTTGCGGCCTCCGGACAGCAAGCCAAACCAAGAGCAGCCTTATCGTCGACTTCATGTGTCCGACGGTACGACCACGACGACGGCGACGACTGCGTCGACAATGACGACGTGGATAGTTCTTCCTGCAGTTTCAAATTCATTCTCCTGAGGGGTGTGGCCTTGTGGTTTCGTCCAGTCTTGGGTTGATGTAGTGGTTGTCGAGGGTGCGGATGAGAGCAGATGTTGCTGACTTGGAATGATGTTGTTGTCCTGTTGCGGCTTCCTGGCCGTGGTGAGAGCTTAAACCCTGAAGCCTATCGCCTGAACCGCAAGCCCCAAAGCCCACAAAATCCTCAAACCCTGAGGCCCCAAATTCTTCCTTAGGCCCTAGACCTTTGACTCGGAATCCGCATAGAGCATCCCTTCTAAACCCTAAGCCCTAAATCCGAAACCCTCAACCGCCTAAACCCTTAAACCCCCAGACCGCAAACCCTAAGCCCAAAACCCTAACAGCTCCTGAGAGGCACCGCGACCAGCTTCCAACCAGGCAGAGCTGGCGCTTCGCTTTCCTTAGTTTTTTAAACTAATTTTTGGGTTTTGGTGTTTTCGGGATTCTAGTAGGCTTTCTCGGGTTTAGGGTTTAGGGCCTAGGGTTTGATTAGGGTTTTCATGGCTTCGACAGGACTCCGTGGCTCCCTACAGGGTTCGGAAGGGTTCTGAAGAGGGATCTGTGACGTCAACATTTTCACGTGGGATTATGAAGGCTGCGTTGGACAGGTTTTCCACTATGTATAGGTTTCTTTCAGGCATGTTCCCAGTTTCCTGGGCTTCTCGCTGCCAGTGTGCTTGCCTTTTGCGTCGGGGTCCAGCTTGAAAGCCCAACCCCATCGGAGCCCAACGAGGTAACAGACACCTGGATGCTTGCGTGCCCCTCCACAGGAGACTGCAGATGCGACGGAGGGAAGCCAGGGTGCAGAGAGGCGCGATTGGGGGCCTTCGAGGCGTCCAGCTTCGCAGTTTCTGGCGTCAGCATAAGAGCAGCAAAGGCCTGTTCTTCAGATTGTTGATCCAAGAGCTGAGAAGATGCATGACCCTCTGCTGCGAGGCCCCCGAGGACGCCCCTTGAGGCAGAGCCGTCGGTCATTATGGGGTTGTTGGGGTTGAGTCGTTTCCTGCCCTAGACTTCAAGGGTGTGCGTTTTCGTAGACTTAGGGTCGGGGATTGATGGTTTGAGGGTTTCGAACTTAGAGGGTTTGAGGGTTAGCGTCTGGTTTGAGGGTTCAGGCTTGGGGTTTTGGAGCAGATGGTCTGGGATCGGCTGTTTGGGGTTTGGGCTTCGGGGTTCGTCGTTCTGTTTGCTTTGTGCTTCTGCAGCCGAAGTTTCGCTTGCTAACTTTGGAATCTATTGATTGCTGTGTAGAAGTGAGCACTTGATATGCTATTGTGACGCTCGGGTGAGGATAGCAGCACATCAGGGTGGCGTGATAGCTTTTTTAGCACCACCTGCTTCGATGTGCTTGTCGGCAAACGCACAGCCGTGGCCAGCTGCCTGTCCACGCCCTGATAGGTTAACTTAAATGCATGGACCAGTCCGGGACATGCCATCGGAGGGTAGCCCTTCGGAGGCTAGCAGTGGTTGAGAAGCGGCTTGCTCCGTCTTTCCTTGGCGGGCGGGATCCTGCTCTTGTACTGTTCACCGCTTCCAAAACTTGGAGTCCTTTTGTGAAATGGTTGCGCAAGGACATCCTGGATCAGCTGGAAAGTCTCGAGGACGAGGTTGGATTCCGAGAGGCTGTCAAGGTTCAACTTGTCGCAAGTCTGGGGGTTGCCCTGGCAAGGGAGCAGATGTTGTTTTTGTTTTTTAAAAGACTGTTCTACATGCTGGATTATTTATTAACAAAATGTGTGTGCGTTATATCATATAATGTCCATTATGTTATATACTATGCAGGTGTTTGAACAATACATTCGACAATTGGTAAGCAATGAAGGAAGGCAACACACAGATACTGATCATATATATGTATACATATATACATATACATATACATATACATATACATATACATATACATATACATATACATATGCATATGCATATACATATACATATACATATCATACATATATATATATATACACACATACACATACATACATACATACATACATGCATGCATGCATGCATGCATGCATGCATGCATGCATACATACATGTACATATATATATATACACATACATACATACATACATACATACATACATACATACATACATATACGTATACATATATATATATACACACACACACATACACACACGGAGTAAGGAACATGATATGATATTGTAGTAGTGTTTTATGTTATACTATTATCTTGCTATATGGGTTGAAAATATATCATTTCCTGGGTTGTACGGTTAATTATATTGAATGAAATATGTTATCTTGTATGTGAGCTATAGACCGATGGGTCGATAGATCGATCGATAGATCGATAGATAGATAGATAGCTAGGTAGACAGACAGAGAAGCAGGCAGGCAGGCAGGCAGACAGACAGACATATATATATATATATATGTAAATACATACCTACATAGATACATACTCATACATACATACATAGATACATAGATACATGCATGCATACATACATACATACATACATACATACATACATACACACACACATACACACACACACACACATACAGACATGAGGGGTAGGACATGGTACGATCGCTTAGAACAGAGTTGCTCCAGGCCTTGGCAGGCCTCATCTGCATCGCCTTGGAGCGGCGACCCTTTCTGATCCCTCGGGTGCGCCGCTTTTTGCAGCCGGTTCGGGTTCAGAGTTTAGAGGTTTAGGGTCTAGGGGCCTAGGGGGTTTGGGGGTTTGGGATTTCGGGTTTAGGAGTTCAGCGTTTAGGGTTTAGGGATTTGGGGTGTAGGGTGGGCCCAATCCACAGGCACCATTGCTTTTGCCCTCGAAGGTACTCCCCGCAGATGGCCAGGACTGACCGCGCAAAGCCCCCGTGCCTCCTTGAAGCGAGTTAAGTGTGATTCGGCTTACATCCCGGAGATTTCCAAGCGCTTGCCTCGTCATCCAGAAGTCTCAGGCCTGACAACGAGCCCAAACCGTTGACAATTTGAGCCTTCCAGGAGCCAGCCGAGAGATGAGAATCCCAGGTGCTTCGGTGAAAGCTGTGCGTTCGTGAAAAGGATTGTCTGGCTAAGCTGAAAGAAGTCTAGCCAGTGTTTTGTTGTGTCAGATCCGGCTGGAAGGCGGGAACTTTTTCCTGGAATGAGCATCCCAGTGCTTCCAAGTGAGTGCCCGGCGAAGGTTGGGTAGCACGAAGCCGGCCACTCCCGAACCCTAACGCCAGCGCCACATGCTTTCAAAGACTTGCTTGTGAATTACTGCGATATGATGACGGCTTCGCTGGGTAACAGGCTCGTCAGCTTTGATCAGCCTGTTGGCGCAGTTTGTGTGCCTTCTGCGATGGCTGGAGGCAGCCTAGGCGATCAACTCAGCGGCAGTGCACAAGGCGTTCTTCAATAACTTCACCTCAACTAGTGCCCATCATCTCTTGCAAGTGCAAGGGATCTATCTCTTGGCAGTGGGCAGGCCACGTTTTGCGATTGTTCGGGGTCGGAGCAGCTCCTGCCCATGTTAGCGGCCTGCCAGCTAGTTCACCCATATAGGAGACACGAGGCTGGTACGTTCGTGACCTTCGACCCGCAAGGGCGAAAGCACAAAAAACAACATTGCCGGTTGTCAGTAGGTTTTCTGTCAGCTCTCTGGGAGATGTGTGGAGAGCTCAAGAAATTTTGCTTCTGCTGCATTGCTCAAGAGACGGGGCTCCTCCCGGCATACCGAGCTGGCTGAGGCTACGAGGTTGGCAGCCTGCACTTTGGGAGAACTCTGAAGAAGTTTTTTGTTTGACGCGGTTTCGATGCTTCTTCGCTCTCTTCCTGAAAGCCTTTCTCTGCCCTTAGAAGCTAATTTCCGGCTCGCCCGTCCAAGACTCGATCTCAAGAAACGTGCCGCTGCCACTGCGACTGCCACTTTTCCTCCTCTTTACCTCCTCCAGCCCCTATTGCTGATCCTACTGCTAGTCTGCTAATCCTCCTCCTCCACCTCCTCCTACGACTACTACTATTAGGACGGCGACGACGATGACGACGACTACTGCGACTGCGACTACGACTGCGACAACGACTACCATTACTATAAGGACCCTCTTAGGTCTCTGTCGCCGTGTGTTTCTTGCTGGTTGATTGGGGGATAATCGAAAACGACATGATCGGCATTAAATCACAATGCCTGCATCCCCTAGAGGCCCCAGTGGCACGTTTTCAGCTTGATTGTTCTTGGTTGACGTCATGGATCATATGATCATCTGTTGGAGCCTGCTGTTCTTGTGAAGACACAGCAGTTGCTTGCTGGCTTGCTTGTGCAGCCATAAAGTTTGTACAGTTGGGTTAACAGGCCCCCTAGGCCGGGGCATTGTCAATTGTACAGCAGATTCAGCGTGGCCAGAGCATCCATGCCGGCGGGAATGATGATTTAAGTCACCACAGCATCCACGACGACGCCTGTACAATAGAATGTTCTAATCTAGTGTTGTGCGTGTCTGTGTGTGCGCTCAAAAAAAAAACCCCTAAACCCTAAACCTTAGATTCAGCTGAGTTCAGGTTTTCGCAGCTGGGATGCGGAAGGGCACAACCTCTGGAATCCGGGACTATGCACTTAAAGGTTGAACCTCCGACGTTCAAACAGCTGTCCATCACATGCAACTGCTTTCGATTGCGAGCACATACATTGCATGCCGGAGCTTGCAGTGGACTCGTGCTCTGATGTGTTTCCCAAACAAATAAACATCCTACCCCCTGTGCCCTATGCTGCCCTACTCGAACGACTGCGTAAATAGTTCAATGGATTTTCCTGGAGCACATGTCGTAAAATGTGCCAGTTCTACAGTAGTGATGCCTTCCGCCTTGATCAAAGCCATGGCTTGCATATTTTACTTGTGCGCTGTGCCTTATCATGTCAGCCGGATGAAGCTTCGTGGCCCTTCTGGCGAGAGTCAGAGGATACGATTTGCATTTCCACAGCTTCCTTTTTTCATGGAGCTGGTGAATCGCAGAGACTTACAATGCTGGTTGTCACAAAAGCATACAAATCGTACACCGCAGTTCCACATCATTGGCATTTTCAAGGGGAAACCTGGCATTCTTGCGCAAGACACTTTGTCCCAGTATGCGCACAGGGACGAGCTGCAGGTTTGGACAGGGTTATGGCGAGGCATTTCCAATGCTTATACAGTCATCGTTGAGGAGTTGCTTGTTTTCGACAAAGCACTGCAAGTTTATACGTGCTCGCAGTCGGGTTCTGAAGGCTGCGGATGCGGATTAATTCTTGTGCCCTTCGCATACTTTTGTTGATTATCTTGCAGGCTTTCCTAGACAGGGGTCGTAGGGTTGTAGGGGAGCTTTCCATTGGATTAACAGGGGCATGGGGTTAGATGGTTTTAGTTTACGTAGAGGTCCGTGATTTCGTTTCGAGATTCCCAAATCGATATTTGCAGGTGTGCAAGCACTTTCCGGGAGGCGGCAAGTTCTGTCTCCATTTGTCCCCGCCTCTTTTGCTGCTAGAGACATCATGAGGCTGAAGGGGCGATTGCTATGCAACAAACAGGATCTGGGCGAGTGCTCTGTGAACGATGTGCTCGCGCGCTGGCAGGCAACTCTCGAGGATAGTGTCCTTGCGATTCCAGTGATGGAGCCTGTGGCATCCTTGCTCACCCACGGGGATTGGTGCACGTTATGCCTACTAGGACACTGGCCCATGCCGGCTGGTTGTAGCTTGTTTCCTGACTTCCCTCCACCAGGTTTGAGCAGGTATGTCATTCCAGAGCAAGATGAAGCTGCAGCAAGTGTAGCTTTGAATTCTGCGAAGGTTGCAGCGTTGGCAGAACGTATCCGCGGTTGGGCGCCCCTCCTCTTGCAAACATGTGCCGATGAGGAGGAGCAGAACAACATGCGTATGGAACTAGCGGACACTCTGGGTTGGTTCACATCTTTGGAGGTTGCATCACGGCGGGAGGGTCGCCAGACCAGGTATAGCCCAAAGGTGTTGGTGTCATCTGTGTTTTTGAGTGCTCTTCTTGGGTCACGGAAGAAGATTGCCAGTGCAATTCCTCTTGCTGTGCAAGTGGCCATGCCGGGTTTAGATGTTGAACAGTTTGTTTCACGAAGCCAGTTTCCCAAAAAAACCACGATTCAACGTTCAGGGACCAGTTTAGACATGGCATACCTCTTGGTCCGCCGTGAGCAATTATTGGCGTCCAAGCACATTTTTTTTGCACTGGCAGATTCGTCCCCACAGGCAGGAAGAGATTGGCTGATGGTCATGTCTGCTACGATCTGTGAGGAAGATTTGGTCAGCGCCTTCCGCTCCTCCAATCTGCTTATCAAGAGTCAACAGCATCTGTCTGACCACCACGAGTCCCTTGAAGCTGAGATTCAAGATGTCATTGCAGCGTCAGAGACAGTTCGGAAAGCAGTGCAACATCACACTTGTGTGCCAACGGCTCTGGGTTCTAGTAGAGGCAAGGCTGAAGACAAGGCAGCAGCTTTCCTTCATTCGATTTCATTGGAGTGCGAGAGCCGAAGTGATTTGTTGCAGCGCATGGGAGACTTTTTTAGTTGGACAACTGATCTGGGAACTGAGGTAGCCCTCCCCCTCTTTCAAGTAAGTAGCCCCGAGTCACTGTTACCAGAGTGGTTGCATCACGTGCCAGACCCTGATGTGCATCAGAGTGATTCTGAGTCTGGAGCAGCAGGGGCCCGGGCCGAGACCGAGATGCAGGCACAGGCATTGCTGCCACGTTGTTTGATCGTACCTGGGGGAATGCACATCACGCACAATTTGACTGTTGACCTTCACAGCAAACTCACTTGGTGGGACACTTTCTGGGATCATCTACAAGCAGTATGCAAGCTACTTGCAGAAAGGCATCTGCGAGAGCGTTTCGTAGCACGGTGTGTCAGGGGCACGGCAGCGGCAGGTGAGGAAGTTTCCATCAACAGGGCCCAAGTCTATCGCCTCTACACCAAAAGGTGGCAGATAGTGATCGCATCTGTCAGCCAGCTGTTACCGGTTTTTTCTGTGTTGCAGCAAGCGTGGGATGAGGATCGGTTTCTTGCCGGCGAACAATCTGACAGTGACATCGCCAAGAGTGTGACAGCAGCTCTGTCCTGTCCTCTGTTTTCAGCATACCTGCACATGGTGCATGGGGTGCACCGAATTGTAGCTCATCTGGAGTCATGGATGGAATCATGCCCGTGCCACGATTGCGATGCCTCTGGCAGCACCCATCGAAAGAAGCGTCAAGGATTGCTGTTGAAGCCTGATCCCGTCAAGTGCCCCCTGCGGGGGAAACGAGCCCCGGAAATGGCTGCCGGCAGCTTAGAGACCACACTCATGCAGCTTGAGAACTCAGCTCTGCGAGCTTTCGCGGATGATCCTGATGAGGGGCTCACAGACAGCGACAGAGACACAGTTCTTCAAGACTACGAATATGCGAGGCAATTTTTACACTTTGGATTGCTTTCCAAATTCGGTTTCTGGCAACAGTTGCCGTGGAAGCTAGCTTGCTTAGCGCATCATTGGGAGTCCACAGCAAGATCGGAAGCAAAGCAGTGTTTGGAACAATTTGATAAATCCTTGATGAACCCCCTGGTGGAACCTGGACACCACCATTTCTTGACTTTGAAATTTCTTGACCCAAACGGAGACTTGAGAAAGGACTTGGAGCTGTTCACTGAAGGGCAGCCAATGTCTCAAAGCCTTGAGGCAGCGGCGGCTCCGTTCAAGTTTGTGAACATTGTCGAGAGGGCAGTAGAAGGATTGCATCGAAATGTAAAGGTAGCATGCAAGCATATCAAGTTAGGCCCTACCTCTGTCAGCTTGTCAGTTCGGTTGTCAGAGATTCGTGAGTGCTGCGACGGTGATGATGCATCCAGACAGCAGCTGCTACGTTGCTTCCAGCAAGTCCGTGACTTCAAGAAGGCTGCTGCTAGGCTGGGCATGTTACACCACCCGCGATTGGTAGAACTTCTGCGAGCCGGGGTTGTCACCAATTCTGCGTGGTTGAAGGCAGTGCAGCACATCA